ATTACTGATTATTACATTTAGCATACACATAACATGTTCAATATTTTAAGAATTTGGTAAATTTAATTTTATGCAACACAACCTAAAAATGTCTGCAAGCATTATCAAACTATTGCCATAAACAGAGCAATAAGTGTTTTTGTTATTAAAATTATGTTTGTTGATTTAATGCTGAAAATATTTCACACCAAATGAAAGCTACAAAGTTTCCTATAGTAGCAATATTTTACATTAAATAAATTCATTTCAGCAAAAGGAATAATCTTTTCTGTACCACAAACTGTAATGTATAAAAAACTGGAGGTGGTACAATTCTTTAGGGTAGCACTGGACACTTCCGCCGGGGGCAGCCAGTATGTAAGTTGAGCAAATTAAGGAGGCTTGTAAGACACATGGCAGCATTGCATGATCATTTCTGAAGTTATCATACATGACAACAAGGATGAGATTAAAACTTCACCAGTGAGCATTATTTTCGTCTTTGATATTGCACACATTTTTGTCTGCGTAAGTAGTTTCTTTTCCGACAAAATATCCACCGGCTGGATACATGCAGTGCATGCATTATGACTATGTTTGGTTGAATCAATGAGTTTTTACTGGCACAGGGATAGTGGTGTACTTACTCAGAGATATTTGCATATTACTTCAAGGCTAATGGCATTACAGAGGAAAACAAAAAGGTGGTGCTCCTCTCAGTATGTGGGACAGAGACATTCTCCTTATTAAAGGACCTTATCACACCTGAGAGCTTATGGAACAAAACATTTAATGAGCTATCCCAAGCATTAGAGGAACATTGTAGTCCAGCACCGTCCGTTATTGTCAAACAATTCAACTTTTTACATGTGCCGGCAACAACCAAACCATCTCAGACTTTATAGCCCACCTGAAAAAAAAAAAAAACAATCTAAGTTCTGCGAATTCGGTCCCACTATCCAGGATATGTTGGGGGATTTGCTGGTTGTAGGTGTTGCGGATGACCATATCTGCAGATGTTTATCGTCAGAAAAGTTGAATTTTGACCAGGCTAGACAGAGCCCTGGTGATAGAAAGTGCTGACAACATAGCAGCCTGCTCCAACACCACTGTACCCACCCAGCCTAACATGAGCTGTGTCAACAGGAAAAATTCTCATCAAGGAAAAAACGGGAAACCATGTTTTTGATGTGACAGCAAGCATTCACTGGATTATTGTCGCTTCAAAGAAGCAACCTGCAATTTCTGCCAGAAAACTGGCCACATTTCAGTAACCTACCTGAAAAGGAAAGGTACCAGAAGTTGCCAAACACAGAATCAACTGAGATGAGCCTGATGGCGACACCCTCTCTATTGTTTCAGGAGACACCACCTCAGTACACAAACTTTTTCACATCTCCCAGAAAAAAAAATTAACTCTCTAATGGTATTGGTGGGCATCAGTGACAGATGGGTAGAGATGGAAATTGATACAGGTACTGCTGCAGTATCACTAATCAGCTGCACCATTTTTGACAGACAGGTTAAAAAAAAAAAAATCACTCCATGTGGTACCTGTGAGGTCACCGTAACATGACAATTAGCAGTATTGTCCACCTTTGGTGGAGGTAATTCAGCTTAGCTGGAACTGGATTCATCAACTCAAAGCAGTTAACAACACTCCTGCTGTTGAGGACATCCTACAGAGGTACCCGGACATTTTCAAAGATAAACTAGGTGAACTAAGAAATTACACAGCAGTGTTGAGGGCTGACACAAATACAAAACCCATCTTTTGCAATTGTCGCAGTCCTAAAAACAGGCCAATCGATTCGTCTATGTGGGGACTACAAGATGACCATGAATAAGTGTACTAAACTGGATTCATACCCCATAACCAAAGATTGAGGACCTATATAAGAAACTGAGCCAGGGAAGAAAATTCACAAAACTGGATGAGATATGCATTTCTACAGGTCCCACTACACAAAGACTAAGAAATTTCTGAGCATCAACACCCCATGAATCATCAGACATAGAACATCTAGACAACCTAGACAGAGTCTTAAAGAAGCCCTCTAGCCTCCGAGTCAGACTCGATAAATACAAATTCATAGCTCCAATAGTTATTTACCTTGGTCACAGGATAGATTCGGAAGGTCTACATCCCACTGAGGATAAAATACGAGCTATCAGAGATGCACCAGCACGCCATAATGTGAGAACTGAAAACCTTCCTGGGATTGTTCCCATTTCACGCTAGGTATGTTTCTAACATTGTGGATAAGCTGGGTCCCCTATACCACCTGCTGAAAAAGGGGTGTCCCCTGGAAATTAGATCATTCTTCAGTGTTTCAGCAGACGGAGGAGCCACTACAGATGAATCGTGTCCTGATCCACTACAACCACAAGAAGGAACTTATCCTCACCTGTGATGCTAGTCAGTATGGTGTGGGGAGCAGTTCTATCCCATATCATGCTAAATGGCCAGGTTGAAAGTTCATTTAAACTTGTTAAAAGCAAACTGAGAAGAATGTCAGGCAGAATACTGGAAACAAGGCTTTCACAGGTCCTACTCTCCTATGGGACAACACCCCACACCACATCTGGAGTTACACCAGCAGAACTGCTAAGGAAGAGAAAGTTACAAATCTGGACAAGTTGAGGCCATCCAGCTTAACCACTGTATTCCTCAGCCAGGATCAGAAATCCCATCATAACATGACCGCCCAGATGTGGATATTTCACAAAGAGGTTTTTGCCCAGAACTTCAACAGGGGCCCTGGATGGCTGACTGGGCATATTTTGCCCTATCCTTCTTGAAAAAAATTACAACATGGATGAACTATTCAACGTCATCAAGACCACATGAGGGCTCGCTTCAGTTCTCCAGAGTCAATATCACCTACTCCAGTGAATGACCTGGATCCAGGGCAAATTGAATCTCAAGATTGCTGTCACAACCTGACATAGCACCCCAGGTTCTTATTCATACTCCAGACACAGCAATGCCAGAGAATCCTCTAATCCAAAAATCAGCAGCTGCAACAACAATCTGCCAGAGAAGTTGAAGTACTCAAACCACTTGTAATGTCAACCCCACTGCAGCAATCTGCTAGAGAAATCAGGGCACCCGAACATTTTAGTCCTGGATAAAGTTTGGATCTGAGGCAAGGACTCATGAAGGGGGGTAATGTACGAAAAGCTGGGGATGGTACCTTCTTTTGGGCAGCACCAGACACTTCTGGTGGGGGCAGTTGGTATGTAAGTTGACCAAATAAAGGAGGCTTGTAAGACACATGGCAGCATTGTGTGATCATTGCTGAAGTTATCCTACATGAACAATTTCTTGTCATAAGTAAATACAGCCTATGATTTTTATTGATATGCTTGTCACAGTATAAAATACTATAGTGTATTAAACATGTAAATGTTGAGTATCTCTTATTGCAACTATAGCAAAAAGTTTTAGTTTTAATTTAAATATACTGTAATAGAAAAATAAATGTATAAGTTTAGAGCTCTCACAACATTTATGTAATATTTTCATGTAAAATAAATTTTAATATACCAAAATGAAAACATTTTTAATTTAAAATAAAACTGGAGTTTAATAGAAACAATTTTGACAAAGTAACTTTTGATGAAATTAAAAAAGCAATCTTACAATAAGTCAACTCCCCCCAAAATTATAGAAAACAAACAATTCTAACAATACAACCAACATTTACTAATTAAAAATAAGATATGATCAATTCAGTCACAAAAACTAAGTCATAATTTTGTGTCATCAGCTATTAGTCTAATATATTCTTGAGTATTGGTATATCATTTTTTTTTTTTTTAAATTTAAAAGATGTTAAACTATATCTTCCAAAATATTTTTCAAAATTTTTTTATTCAAATAGTTCTAAATTTATGAAAGAAGAAATTATGATTCTAGCATTATGTTACTAGAAACTTTTCTGATAACATATTGCTGAAATGTAACAAACTATAATAAAATAAATATCCAAGATATAATAAGCATTCCAATAAATATACAACTCAGGTTGAGAATCCAAGTCACAGCAAATGCAAATAACAAGTCACTCAGGTTATCAAATAGAATTATGTGCAATGTGCGGTAATTTAGTTAAGAACTAAAGTGGATGACACTTTGAAAAGCAAGGAACATAAAACTTCAAAAGAAAAACTAAAGTTTTAAACAAGAGAATATCTAGCAAAATGACAAATTATTTTTCTATCCTAAAAAAAGATTATTAAAATGTATAAAAAAAAAAAAAAAAAAAAAAAGAAAAGATATGTAAATGTACTTATTTAACAAAAATTAGGAACAATAAATTCTAAGAAATCAAAATTTAATTCTGGTAACAAGCAACCATAAAAGAAAAGAAAATAAGCATTTTTTTTTAATTTGTTAACCTCAATTCATTTAGCAATTTTATGATTAATAATTAGGATATTTAAAAAGAAAAAAAAATGAACTTATTCAAACAATTAAAATATATTTATTTAATTTTAACTTGCAAGAGAATTAACACAAGCATCTTCATCTAGCCTATTTATAATGAAAAGTTCTACAATTTTTATTTCACTATTACTTGCTATTATTATTTTTTTATATCACCAGAATGACAACATGAAAATAATTCTTTATGTACATTTATTTTCAGTTTCTATAATTTTTCTCAAATGTATTTTAATGTTATTAATCTTTAAATCATATAAGGTTTATCATATTTTAGATACTATATCTGATAATTTTAAATAAGCTGTATCCAATGAAAATATTTTGAAAAAGTCAGTAGCAGACAACAATTTCAGTACATTCCCAACCAAAGTTCAACAATTAGCAAAAATTAAGAGAAATAAAAAAAATAAAAAAAAAATAAAATAAAAAAAATAAAAGCAATATAAATCCAATGTCATAGTTCTAGCCTAAGAAAAGCAGTGTGCTGACAAAAATTGCTGGAAAAGAGTAACTATGTGTGAGTGATGGATTAAAAGAGCAGGTGTTCAAAAATAACAATATGACTTACCATAGCACTGGCAGCAAACTGGCTGTGTTCTTGATCCAAATCTAATGCCATTTGATGAGTCGGACCGATTTCCGTATAGTTAATTAGAAACATATCACGATTGTGGGAAATCCATTCAAACATCTAATACAGAGAGAGAAACCAATATAAGTACATAACTCAAATAAATGTGGGGAAAAAAAAAAATCATTGCTAATTTCACTCAAGCAAATATGTACTTGTTTAAAAATAACCCATTCTTTAATGAATATCTTTGCTGAACAACTTTATAGCTTATTTCTTTCAGCAATAAGCTTTATATTTTTAAAACAGTTAAAATTATACTGTTCGCACTATTTTTGAAGGATTATCACATATTGAAAATCATTCTAAAGTCTTTTATAAGCACATTAAGTAACTTACCTTTTCGGCATCACTTTCAAATACTCGCAGCTGTAGACACTGTTCAAGACGAACTTTCTTGCTAAGCCACAACTGGTTTAGGTACTGCTTATTCGACTGGAGATTGTCCAGAAGATGGGAGATTTGGGGCACAGCACTCTGAAAATCTGCATTTCCAGAGACCACAAAAAGTTTACGGCCAGAACCTAATTAACAAATTACATTTATAGATAAACTTAAAATTAAACCAAAAATAAATAAATTAATAAATAAATAAACTAATATTTTAAATAAACAAAAAGAAACCAAAACTCAAGGAATTAAATAAAATAAAAAAAATGAACAAAATACAGTAAATGATAAATAAATTGATTTTCAACAATATTTTGCATCAGCTTTACCAAGACAAAAGTCTTGATAAAAACTGACTGCTTAATAGTTTTTGCTTATTTGTATTTTTAAAAAATAAGCAAATGAAATAAGATATTCTGAGAATAAAAAAAAGTAACCAAACATACAAGCTACAAAGTAATACATAAAATTATTAATAAAAATACTGATACAATTAACATAAAAGATAACAGAAAAATAAAAGAAATTACATATGAGCAATTATTTAAAGAATTCAAAGCAACTCAACATTAAAACAGAAAATAAAAAGTATTCAATTTACATACAGATAACAGATTAATAACTTGGATTTGTTCTTTTTGTACTACCAAAAGATTATACATGCATTTGCAAGTATCATGTATAGTGATAGTTGGGACTAGATGGTTGGTATTTGATGAAAGTTGGTGGAGCACTTCAGTTTTTCTAAGACTAATTATTAGGTCAGTTTTGTTGCCTCAGAGAAGCAAATGAGCATCTGTTGCAGATCAAATTTGTCATGGTTATCAACAAAAAGGACTTCCTGTGGAGATTTTGAAGGATTTTTATCTTAGCAATAAGATGAAAAATCAAGAGGTAGCTATTCAGCCAGTATTGAACATATGCCTCCTTCTGAAAACTCTAAGTTGCATGAGACAGTAGGTTTATGAAAATGTTAAAAGAATAGGTAAGCAACACAGCCTGACTCCATATCACATATCAAGAAAGCACTGAATAGAACCAAGCTGACCATTTCTTTCTGAAAGAGTTAAAGGATTTCTACAAGTATTTAATACACTAAAACTTCCCACAGGGTCTTCCTGATGACAACATGAAAATTTTTTTTATATACTTTTATTTTCAGTTTCTATAATTTTTTTCTCTCAAATGTATTTTATTTAGTGTTATTAGTCTTTCAATTATAAAAGGTTTATCATATTTTAGCAGTTATATCTAATAATTTTGAATAAGCTGTATCTTCTGAAAATATTTTGAAAAAGTCAGTAGCAGACAATTTCAGTACATTCCCAAAGTTCAACAATTAGCAATTTACTTTCAGAGCATCATTCACACACACACATATATATATATATATATATATATATATATATATATATATGTGTGTGTGTGTGTGTTTTGTATGAAACTAATTTCTAAAAATAAGACCAAAATTATTGATAAGTAATTTGAAAAATGTACTTATCTACAAGAAATTTCAGGGAATAAATGTCCCAAACAGACAGTTTCATTAGGCGAATTATTATATCCTATTAAAACTTGTCTATTTAAAAAAAGTAGCAAGGTGCCATGTAATTATTCAGAACCTACATGAAAAATAAAAATAAAATAAATTCATCATGGTACACTAATTACAAATGAAACCATTTTTAGTTATTTGAAACTAAAAAAGGATCCTGGAAAGGAAAAGAAAAAGCAGTTTCAAAATAAACAGAATCAAAATTAATTACCAGATAATGTATCATCTTCCCCAGTGATTCTTTTGAGTATGTGATGTCCTTCCATTGTCAATTGTTCAACTGGCGCTTTGGTTACTCTCTTCTTCAGCTGGTTATGGTGCTCCAACTGGATTTGGGCACCACTCAAATCATCAGGTAACTCCGGACATGTTAGGATTTCCGCCAACTCATCGAGTTTATCTAGAAGGTCTAAGGCTTTCCAGATAAATTCTTCCAGCATCTATAAAAAATAAACATTACAGATTTTTGCAACCAAGAAATAAAACTCAAAGACTTTTTAAAATGAGGAGATACATATGAGAAATTAGGTCATATACTTGTCTGCTATGAAGAAAGTGCTTCTCTTTTTCTTTATAATTTTACTATTGATAAATCCAAAATATTTTTACACCACTTTACAATATAATTCATGAAATTTGTTCATTAAAAAGAGAAAAGGTAAATATTATTGAAAAACTGTATTATTAGTAACAATACACTGCCAAATAAAATCTGAGGAATAATTAACACATGTTCTTACCAGTCGGAGCTGAATCCATTGTTCATGGTCGTAGTCAAGAGTACCATCAAATTCTCTTGTCAGCTGAGATGATTCGATGAATTTTACAAGGTTATCAACAGATAGCATATTAGTCTGAAAATAATATTATTAATGTTTTTAAGTAAAATTTATTAAAGATAGTCATTATTAAAAGAAAAAAAAATATTCTTAAATAATGGCTGGCTACTGATCATACCTGTCTGCCAGGGTAGCTAGCAAAACCATATTACAGATACCTGTTCAACTGAGTTCACCTGTGGTTTATACTGCAACTATGAGTGGACCTTAGTTACAGTTTCTAGGAGAGAGCACATAAATTAATCTAGTCATGATTGGCAATTTGAGCAATGTCTATACACTCAAACTCTTGGTCATGGTGACTTACTCCATGCTAGCACAACCATCAATGGTTCAGTTTACCCAACTGTATTCAAAGACTTTGGGTTAATTTGTTGTATGGTTTTCAGGAATTTTCCAAAAGATGTTGCACACTGAAATTGCCTTCCAAGGCTGATATTATCAAGAAGTCACCTCCTTAACAAATCAACTATAGTGAGATTTGAACCCAGGTTTCATAGAAAGCAAACAATTTAACCATTCAGCCTCTTAAATAATGGATACTAATATACTAATTCAATCTAACTAACTAAAATACATCAAAATTTTACATTTCCATGTTAAAAATAATTTTACCAGAATTTTTACAGTATAAATTATAAAAATCTTTCTTAAATTAATAAAATCTAAGAAAATTGAATGGTACATTTTAATTTTCATTTTGAAATTCTCTTAATCCAATTTTCTCACAATGATAAGTATGCTTTACATGAAGTTTGAGTAAAATTTAATACTATACAAAGCATTAGTTTCAGTGTACCAAATTCATTCCATTGTTTTAGCATAAATCAGGGAAAAAAAAAAAATTTCTATTCCCCCAAAGCAACAGTTTTGACAAAGTTTACCTAAATTGATTAATTACTGTAAATGAATATACAAGGTAAAGGACACTTTAAAACATTGTACAAAAATTTATTCTATTGCCAGAAAATTTTTAAAATCCTGTTAACAAAAAATGATCAGCATAAAAAAAAATTTCAAACTTCATACAAGATAATATATATTTTAAATAGCAATAACAGAAAGAAAGTAAGATTACCACAGAAGCATTAGTAAAAAAATAATTCAAATACTTACTTCAAAATTATATTTAGCACTCCCTAAACTAGTCCTTTGTTTCTCCCAAAACTTTTCAGGTTTTATAATAATTGCCATGTGGATATTACCAGGAAAGCAATCCTTAAAAAGAAAAATTTAAGTTAATTTTAGATTTCAATTTATTATATATGAGAGAGGCACTAAAAAGATCTCAACCCAACCCATTTCCCTAAATCTGACCAATATCACTTTTTTTTGCAAGTGCTTCTTGGTCAGGCCAAGACCTATTCCACGCCCCTTTACAAATGTAAAATTTTGTTTGCTTTCAAAAATGAAAGCAACAATGAATGAACATCAAGAAACATTATAAAAATGATCTAAAAAAACAGGATACTTTGTGTTTAAAACTACATAGTGCAAGGCAGATGACCAAACAGATTGTCAATATTTGCCCTGTGATATTTAAAGCATAGCTCATACAACAATTTTACAAACCAGCAAAAGTAAAACTATTTACTTAAAAGTAAACTTAAAACAAAACAAAACTCAGAACTAAGCATCATGCAAAAAACATTCAGGCTGGATGTCAGAAATTCCAAATGTTTAGTAAATTTTGGGAGGTATCTCAATAAAGTACTGAGTTCATGCTTTTTGAACTTCTTATTTTTTAATGTCCGTCATTGATCAGAGATATTCTTAAAAAAAAAAAAAAAAAAAAAAAAAAAAGATATTTTAACGATTTTTAAATTAAATTTTATAGGAACACACATTTGCAGTTCTTTTGTACTATGTATGTAAGTATTATTAATGAATAAAAATATTTTAGACAATCATTATTGATAAGGACCAACTATCCTTTATAGATAGCTATACCTGCATTGCCTGTTGTTTTTGTTATTTAATATCACAAAAGATTTTTCCAGTTCTTTTAAGAATCATATCCTATCCCTTCAGGACATGGGCAATCATGGCTTTCCACAATTTCCTGTACTTTGTAGCTCTTTTTCTTTTTTTTCAATCTTTCCTAATTCCTGTTCTATCAAACTGCAATTATGGTAGTTGGCAATACAAAAAGATAAAATGAGAGAAAAAAATGAGAGAAAAAAAAAAGCCCCCAAAAACTATGAGAGCTAACTGGTTATAACTTTCATCAGAACTTTATCGAGGAAATTAAAATATTATGCACACCAACTAAAAATGGTGAAAAACAAGGAAAGAAAATACACATGTATAACCACAAGTTCCTTGAGGCCCCAGTTATATGGTTACCTAAGACCCATAAGGACAATGTTCCAGTATGACCCATTTTGTTGATGATTGTGTCGGTCTAGTATAAATTGGCTAAATGTTTGGCTGAATTATTACAACCCATGTTTAGTAGTATGTATCTAGAGTATTGCATTAAAAGTTTGTTTACATTATATACAAAATTGTCCTTTTTATTCTGGAAATAAATTTGTGTTCATTTGACATCAGTAGTTTTACTTCAGGAAACAATAGAGAGCACTGTATCGGTCATCTTTCTCCCCTTCATATTCCTGAAATTGATTTTATCATGCTTAAGTTTGCCATAATGTCTGCCTATAGATCATTATTTGATATGATCTATAGGCAGATTGATGGAATTTCAATGGGCAGCTTGTTTAGGTCTTGCAATAGCTAATATATTAGTGGGGTTCTACAAGCAAAAGTTGTTTGCTGGTACCAGCTGACCTATGTATATGACACCTTTTGTGTTATTTAGTATTAGTAGTTTCATAAAGTTTTAAATAATTTATTTGCAGTGCTCGTTTCAATTGTTAACTTTCAGTTAGATCAATCGAAGGCAAAAATTGATGAAAGTGTCTACAATAAGTTAAGATCATAATATACCATTACAATAATATGAAACTGCAGCTTTGTTGAGATACCAGGTAAAAAAGTTTTCACGGCTTGGGTGGAGAGTTTTCCCTCATCCCCCATCCTTGCAAGATATTCTAGTCTCCACAGAATTCAATGAATAAAAAAAAAAAAAAAAAAAATTCAATTCCCTGGAAGAATACAAAAACCTCCCAAAGCAGTTTTTTTGGTTACCCAATAAAAAGCTTTAACTCCTGGGAAGCTACTAAGACAGGGAACAGTGACTAAAACATGAAGAAAAAAAAAAAACACTAAGTGTATAATTGATCATTAAACTGAAAGGTTTAATTGTGAGTTTCGTGCATTAAGTAAAGAATGTCATCTTTAACAGATGATAAACATCATACCTGCAAAGCTTTCAGTATTGGTTTTACTGTTTGCCATGTGGAGCCCCTCATGTCAAGAATAATAGTAAATCCTCTATCACGCACATCATCACTGAAAGATTAAAAAAAAAAATGAAATAAAACATCAACAAAAAAAAAAAAAAAAAATTTAAATACTGACAAAACAGATTCATTTAAAAATTAAAATTCAAAATATCTATGAAAATAAAAAAATTCCCACTAAGTGACCAACCAGGGTCTACTTTTTTACCAGCTCAAAAATTTCTTAAAAATTATAAATACTTAGATCAGTTAAGTGACTCACTACATTCACGTACTTTCCTTCCCATATTTTTTTTTTTTTTTTTCAGATTGGACATCCATAAATTTGGTTTTGTTGGTAAGATTTACTGCATTATAATTTAGGTGCTACTTTGGCTTGTTATTTACAAGGAAAAAATATCTACACCATACTAAATTTTATTTTGGAATGATATTTTCTTACAGTAAAACAGGTGCTACTTTGACTTATCTTTTCCTTGTGGATAAAAAGCCAAAGTAGCACCCATTTTACTATGTAAATATCATTCCAAAATAAAATTTGTACGGTGTAGATATTTTTCCTTGTAGATAACAAGCCAAAATAGCACTATAATTTGTTATAAATTACAGTTTAGGAAGTAAAAATTTTTTAAAATTTATTTGATTTAATTTGTCACACTAGTTTAAATGGCTTCTAAAGAAGCATTCATATATCAAAAGTCTAATCAGAGAGGATCATATTTAAATTAAAATGAAATGCCCCTGCTGTATAAAGAAATAATTAGTCCATTAGGCAAAAAGCATCTGCACTGACTAGATATACCATAAACAATTATTTATGTTGAAATTTCTTAATACAAGAAAGGATTAAAAAAAAAAAAAAATGATCTTTGGTCAGATTTTGGAAAGTGTATCAGGCCAGGAACTTTTCAGTACCCACTTGTATATGACATCCTTCTAAAGAACAACTACCCAACTAATAGCATTAGAACCTGCTTATAGAAGGAAAAATTCTTTGGAGATCAACAATAAATTTTCAGTAAAACTACCTAAAAAAAAAAAAAAAAAAAAAAAAAAATTAAATCTAACGGTTTTGGATTTGGTAACAATATAACTTCAGTGTAGTTTTCCATGAAAAAAAAAAAAAAAAAAAAAAAAAACAACACTGTACAAAAGTTCCTTGTGAAGAAAATAGGACTAATATCTGTATATCAAATGTTACAGTAGTGAATATCAAGGTAGTGAGGGTTATTACCCAAAAATTGTATTTAAAGAATGATACCAAAGATGAACATAACCAAATGTATAGGGAAAGGATAGGAGCACATTACTCTTTAGAATTAGGTCAGGAGGTGAAATGGGTACCAATTCTGAGTAAAGAAAAAGATCACAAATCTACTGAAAAAGTATTTGTGTGTTATGCTACCTGGTAGACTAGTTGCTTTTGTTTCTTCTGTTCAATCTGACTTGAAATTATTCATACCTACAATAATTATCAATAAGTTCATAACCTGACAGTTATCTAAATTTTTCATTGTAGTATTATTCACTACGTGATTAATATTTACAACTGAATTTTTCATCAATGCAATTATGTTGAAAGATAAATATTTGTTATGTAAAATAAAATTTTCATCATAAGACAACAAATATATCAATATACACTACAGGCAAAAAGTTTGGAGCCAACCTGCATTTCTTTATATTAAAATACCTTAAAGTGAGATAGGTTTCATATTTTTTAAAAGGTAAAAGATAAAATGTCAGTATCTCCAGTATTTGCCTTTATTTTTCAATCTTTCGCCAGGCTCCTCTTACTACCAAAAAGTTAAAATTTGGATTTGTCTGTCCACAATATATTATGCTAAATTATGACTATTTTTTATCAGAAACATTTTGCTTTTCACCATTAACCCTACAGTAGGCTTTTTAACTATGTTAAATATTAATATAGATTCTCAATATTAACTCAGCATTGACTAATGAAAAAACATATGTAGATGTGTTTGTTTAAAAGTATAAAGACTGTGCCATTATAACAGCATTTTCATGTTTTTTTTTTAATTTACTTTTTAATTTTGAAGTAATTTGTACAAAATGGCAAAATCAAAGCAGCTAGGCATTGAGTTGAAGGTACAAACTGAAATTATATTAAAAAAAGGTTACACTCAAAGACATTGACAGTTAGAAAGAGGTGTAAATATTGACAGAAGAGCTGGAGCACCAAAAGCAACAACTGTTACTGAAGATAAGCACTTGATTGAGAGAAAAAGAAATAGAAGGAAAACTGCGCCAGAATTAACAGCTGAACTTAATTCTTCTTAACAAAAAATTGACTTAGATCAACAGGGCCTATGGGGTGCATAACCATCAAGATACTACTGTTATAGAAGGTGAGTAAGCAAAAAAGACTTTATGAGCAAAAATGCATAAGAATTGCACATATTAAAAGAGGGACAAAATTTTTTGTGGACAGATGAGTCCAAATTTGAACATTTTGCTAGTAAGGGTGAGAAGAAAGCCAGGAGAAAGACTGAACAATTAATGTGTGATCCCAGCAGTTTAAGAATGAAACTAAAAAATTAGGAAATTATGACCAGGCTGTCTCAATCTCCTGACCTCTTTCCCATTGAATTAGTATAGGATGAATTGGATAGGAGAGTTTGAAGAGAATACCCAAACTGAGAATTTTCAGTGCTTGAAGATGGCTTTGGAAGGCCTGCCATTTACTTTAACAAAACTGTTGAAAAGAATGCCAAGAATTTGTAAAGCAGTAATTAAGACAAGTGATGATTTTACAGATGAAAACAAAATATGATGCTGTTGTATGAAGATAATTATAAAAAAAATAAAAAAAAGTTAAGTGCTTATTTTTTGTTAAAATAAAAAATACAAAAATCTCATTTTAAGGATATTTTTTTCCTTTTTTAAAGAAATGCAAGATAGCCCCAAACCTTTTGTCAGGAGCATACATATGTATATATGAAAGGCAAATAATACAATGGCTAAATTGCAGTGATAAAGACAGTAAACGTGAAAATACTGTCTTGTTGGGAATCATGTAGTAATGTGCTTCATCAAATGTTTACCTTGAGAACTGGTTTTCCTTGGATGTAGACTTCTCCCTTAATTTTAGTGTCCCTTAATTTTGAAAATTTATGCTAGCAATGTGCACAGATGTTTTGCTACAACCTACTTTTATACTAATTTCAATGTTTAGAATAGACTTCACATATGACCACAATTTGGGCCTTCTTGTAGGTGAAAACGAGAATTTTTTTTTTTATCATATTCTAAGCCTAATTCACTACACAAATGCAATCACAATGGCTGCTAATTTGGCAATGACAAAAAAAGGAGTAGATAGGTTAGAGGTGGTTCATACATTTCCCCAGTTATTTGAATAAAAGTAACAGTTTATCCCTTGTTTCCTGTTTAGGATTGGATTTCTTATACCTTCTAAAGCCTGCTTCAGCTCTAGACTTCGAAAGCCTGCTTCAGCTCTAGACTTCGAAAGCCTGCTTCAGCTCTAGACTTCGAAAGCCTGCTTCAGCTCTAGACTTCGAAAGCCTGCTTCAGCTCTAGACTTCGAAAGCCTGCTTCAGCTCTAGACTCCCCCTAAAGCCTGCTTCAGCTCTAGACTTCAAAGCCTGCTTCAGCTCTAGACTAGCTAAGCCAGCTCTAGACAAAGCCTGCTTCAGCTCCAGACTTGAAAGCCTGCTTCAGCTCTAGACTGCAAAGCCTGCCACTCTAGACTTCAAAAAGCCTGCTTCAGCTCTAGAAAAAGCCTGCTTCAGCTCTAGACTTCGAAAGCCTGCTTCAGCTCTAGACTTCGAAAGCCTGCTTCAGCTCTAGACTTCTAAAGTCTCCACCTTAACTCTGAAATTTTATTCACTAATTTAGGGCCCCCAATTTTCCGTTTCAAATTTTCCTCGATTCCGTTTCCACTTTTGGTAAATTGTCTTTACTTTTGGGAAATTTCTTTTTTACATTTTTATAGTATTTTATGAGAAAATTCTAATACAATATGCTATAATTATTATTAAAACTGAAAACAAAAATATAATTCAAAGTTTTATTACATATAAAGAAATAGCAAATATCTACAAATCTTTTTTTAAATGTTAAAATCTAAGTCCAAAAATAAATTATATGTAAAAATAAAAAAAAATGTAACATGACTAGACAATAAAACAATGGAATCTTACAGTGCATAATTATCTTTGGGGTAGAACTTTTAATCAGCACTTCCTTCAAGAACACATTCAATTTGTTTTTTTAAGTATTCAGATTGATTTATAATTATTGATTCATAACATAAAAATCACATTTAAAGTATCAATAGCAAATAACCTGAATCTCAATAATAAATATCTGAATAAAGTCAAACATTTTGACTAAAATTTTTACAAAAAAGTAATTAAACCCTAATAACTGAATCTTTGTTAACAAAATCTCAAAAAACAAATTAGATATATTAATTCAAAATTTAACTAAAACAACTTATCCCAAATTTAAAATTGCTAGTTTCTTAATTTTGGAAATATCTAATCTTCAAATCTCTTCTCTAAATCTCCATTGTAATATAATATTGTCAGTTGCTTGGTGTTCTCAGGGGTAAGACTTTCATGTTTCTGAGTAAATATCTGTTATACTGGAACACTCCTATTCTATAGTTAATAGACTCTCCCATCTATAATAAGTAGTAGTAGCAGGCGCGAAGCAGCTCAGTGAGTTGGTCGGACATTACTTTGGCATACAAGGCATACGGTAAAAAAAAAAAAAAAAAAAAAATTTGTTCGCTATATACAACACTTAGCGACGAACGTATTCGGATTCATATGGTGGAAAAAAAAAAAAATTCACCCGCCATAAACTTGATGTACGAGGGATTCAGATTCATACGGTGAGAAAAAAAAAATACAATATGGAATTCAATTGAAATATTCACGTAGAGTCCAGATGAAGAGATAACTTTTGAAGAGTATTATAAAAAATATACGGACGTGTATAACGAGGACTCATTCGTAGTCTGAAGGAAAGAAGGTTAGACTTCTTTTAAGCAAGTTA